AGAAATGACCACTTGTACATAATTCAGGGGACTGAAAAAGAATCTACTTGAATTTGTCACATGTGAATTAAAATACTACAGAGAGAGAGGTAACAAAACTTTAACAAGTGGAGATGACATGTGAAAATAATGTCGCAAAGTCAGGTAGCAACAAGTCCAAAATAGTTGATGGAGAAGTATAAGCCCATGTCAATATATAAATAAATAAATAAAAAAGGGCTTCACCTAATAATATATGTTATAATATGTGTAGCTTTACCTTCATAGCTTAAGCAATTTAATCAATCTCTTGCATTCCATGACTATCTTTGGGCATATACTTCTTTATCACTTGTTGGAGAGCAGGATCTTGTCCTTTAGTTGAGAGTATATCTATGACTAAGGAAGAATTGGATGCATCTGCTGAAAAACCCCTTTGAACCATTTCCTCAACCAGTATTAATGCCTCATAGCACTTGTGTTGTCCAATAAATCCTCGGATAGTAGTGTTGTAAGTGACATCATTTGGCAAACAACCATTATGTCCCATTTTAACAAACAACTCTTTAGCTTCAAGCAGTAGGCCTTCTTCACAAAAACCTTGTATCATTGTAGTGTATGTCTTAGCATCAGGTTATAAACCCTTGGAAGAAAGGTTACTGAAAAGGGCCCTTGCAGTATCAAGCTATTTATCCTTGCAGAATGCATCAATAAGAATATTGACAATGCTTCAGAAATGTGCCCATTTTTGCACAACCCATCCAATAAGATACCATAAGTTTGAGAATCTGGAATTATGCCTGCAGCTTGCATATCATTAAAAAGTTTTTGAGCAACTCCACATCTACCTATTTGAAACAAACCCCGTAACATAGCACTAAAAGTTGCATTGTCGGGTTTCAAACCCCTTTGAGGCAATTCTCGAAAGAGATGCTTGGCCTCATCTATTTTCATTTTCTTGCAATATCCATTGATTAGAATGTTATAGCTAAAAACATTGGGGTGAAGGCCCCTATCCACCATGGTATTGAACACTCTAATTGCTTCGTCCATCCGACCTTGCAAACAGTATCCATCCATTAGAGTATTGTATGTGACTACATTAGGATCCACACCTCTTTGTATCATGACTTCAAGTACCTCCTCTGCCTCTTTCGCCATCCCCTCCTTAGTATGTGCATCCACCAACACATTAAATGTACAAATATTTGGAGAAATACCGCTACCAAGCATTTCTCTTAACATTCCGAAAGCCTCTGTCCACCGACCAAAACTACACAGGCCATCAATCAAAGAAGTATAAGTGACAACATCTGGACGAATGCCTTCTTCTTTCATTTTAAAAAAGAGTTTGAGTGCATCATCCGCCATTCTATCCTTGCAAAGACCGTCAATGATCATGCTATACACTATGGTGTTAGGTTTACAACTTCCCTTTTCCATTATCCTAAGCAAACTAACAGCCCTGATAGTGTTCCCCGTTCTGCAAAGCCCATTAACAATGGTTCCATACATAACCACATTGGGTTCAATTTCTCTAGTTCTCATTAATTTCTTAAATAACTCCACAGCTTGAGGAGTTTTATCTTGCAAAATAAGTCCATTAATTAGAGCGTTGATGGTAGTTACATCAGGTGTATAACCGCGTTTGAAGAGGGTACCCAAAAGAGACAACCCAAAATCGACTCGATTAAGGTGGCAGTAACAGTTAATAGCAATGTTGAAGGTGTAGAAATTGACCTGAATGCCTTGGAGCTGTTGCAACTTGTTATGAATCAGAGAAAGAGCAGTGGCGTAATGACCCATTTTCAAAATAGAGCCTAAAGCTTTGTTGAATTGAGAAATTGGAGGCAAAGGTCGCATCCGGAGCATTCGATTGAAGGAAATTAAAGCAGAATGAAGATGATTGGGACCCAAATTGCATGGTTGTTTGGGTAAGGCTTCATGTTTAGGTTCGCCTACTTGAGGAGGAGAAGTAGGGTTTTTGGTGGTGTTAGAGAAAGAACGAAACAGAACAAATAAGAAACAAGAGGGTTGATTAACTTTAACAAGTGGAGATTTCGATTTCGATTTTGAAGTACGTTTTAATAGCCAATGATTGTAGTAAGCTATTCTTGGTCCAATAATGGAAGAAATAGAAATTGTTCTTCTTCTTCTTGACATCTTCTTCAAGCTCAGCTCGGGGCATGTGCGAGGAGAGAGGGAGGGTTTTTAATGAGAAGATTTGTAGGAGTTAGGGGTGTTTACGGGTCGGTTCAGCTCGGGTTTGTCTTTGACCCAGCAGCCGAACCGATACCTTCGGGTTAGAGAATCAGTCACCCATCATCGACCAAGCTAGGGTTCGAAATCGACCGAACCAAACAAATTGGTTTGGCAATCAGTTCGGTCGATTTCGTAGATCCGAAAGGAGTAGAAAAAATATTATGAAAAATGGAATTAAAATTTGAAAATAGCAAACTTAAACACACATATACATTTATTATGAAACAAAAAACACTTATATAAACATATACATATATTTCTTACAATTAGAATGAGACTTGAGGAGAGAAAATAAAGAAAAAACGAGAGAGGGATCGCATTGTTGATCATTGTCCCCACCATTGCTCATCGCAGCCGCAACCACCACCACGACCATCGCTCATCATCGCCACCAACGTTAATTTTGCGCTCATCCACCACCACCGCCACATCATCAATAGAAAGGGTAAGGAGAAAAGAGAAATAAAGATGAGGGAGAGTAAGATGGATGAATCTGTTTCTGAAAAAAATAAAATCGCAATGAGGGATGAGGGAGTGTAAGAAACGGATGGATCTGTTGAGAGAGAGAGAGAGAGAGAGGGATAAGGAAGATGAGAAAGGAAAAGAGATGGTGGTTTTTCACACAGAGAAAGAAAGAGAGAGGGTGGAAAAGACGGCATCAGAATTGAGGAGAGAGAAAGAGAGGTGATGAGATGCGACGTTTGTGGGTCAGAGAGAGGCGTCAAATTTGTGATAAAGAGAGACAGTAGGTATATAAAAATCTTGAAAAAATAAGTTTGATTGGGAAGAGATAAGTGTGCAGTTTGTAAAAGAACTTGGAAAGATATATAAAGATGTTGGATAAATAAAAGTGTACTATTTGTATAATTTTCAAGACAAAAGACAGACAGTAGGTGTCTGCTTTTGGTTAAACTCCCTAGACAAAGCTAACGTAATAATAATAAAATATATATATCTAATTCGGTCGGATCGGTTTAAGCGGATTTAATTATATTATACCCGGCTTCCGACCGAAATTCACAGAAAATTTGGATTTTACATCCATAGCCGACCGAGTTATTGGTCGAAACCGCCCGTATCGCATCCGGGTCGGACGGGCATGGTCGGTTTCATGGATTGTTCGGTTATTTGAGCACCCCTAGTAGGAGTTTCAAAGTTCTATCATAAAATTGTTGATTTTTCAATTTACTAAATAGGTAGGAAAAAAAAAGAAAAAGAAAATCTATTAGCCAATCTATTTAATTAATCTATATCTATATCTGTATATTATTATAATCCCAGAACGTTGTTATCTTACTAAAGTTGAAAGTTACAATTATTTTTTCTCATTTTTTCTCATTTTTTTTTAATATGTGCCACAATATGATTGGTTTCTAAATTAATTTTATATTTTTAATAAAATTTTAAATTTAGATTCTGTCTTAAATTTTGCTATCATAATTGGAATAAGATCAATATTCATAATATGTTATTAAATACACGTGTTCAAATTATTAATCACTATAAAAAGTTATATTTTTATTTTTTGTCATTTTTGGTTTTAAATTTTATAAATTTTTGTGGACTTGAAAAATAATTTTTTTAAATTAATATTTTCTTTAACAAACAATAAAAATATTGAAAAATGAATAATTTTTTTTTAATAATTTCCAAACATGGTGGATTCTGTATTTTTTCTTTTAATTTAACAAATTATTATTATTATTATTATTATTATTATTATTATTATTATTATTATTATTATTATTATTATTTCGCTTAAATAGTTAATAAGTGACTTTTGCTAAAATCAAATAGAAATAAACATTATTTTTCTATTAAAAGTGATGGTTGGTGAAACTTATGGGAGTTACATGTAATAATTTATTATTCCAACAATGTTACAAACTCACACTTTCCCCCATAATGATGTGACAAGGGAGTTGAGTCCCATGTCATTGAGTGTATAGTAAATCCAAAGTTGATACATATAATACCACATTATTGTGGATACAATTATGGGTATTTTTTGTGAATCTCAAATATTTACCTTATTGTTTATCTAGATTTTTTTTGCACTTATGAAACATGGTGAATCTTGTTTGTTTTTTTGTTTTGTTTTGTTTTTTTTTTTAATTTTAATCTCAATTTTCAATTAAACAAACTAAAATAAAAAATGAATTTTTTTTGCTCAAATTGTTAAAAAGTAACTTTTGCTAAAACAAATAGAAATAAATATTCTTTTTCTAATAAAAGTGATGGTTTGTAAAATATCTTTTTTTTATTTAAAAAAAATGAGGGTTATAGGTGATAATTTATTGGTCATTTATAATTATTTTCAGATCATATGAGAATACTATTTTAAATTTTCTTCTTACCTTTTTTTTTATACAAATATTTTTATTTTTTAGAAATTTAATTTTATTATATTTAAATATTTTATTGTAATTTTTAAATTAAAAATAATTTTTGAAAAATCATATTTAAATTATTTTATGCCATTATAAAAAATAATTTTTTTAATATCAACTTATTCGATGATCCCTTTTTAAAAGTTGTATTTGTTCATTAATATTAAATTTGTAATTAATCTTATTTATTATTAAAAAAATAAATTAGAAAATAATTTTATATATTTATATATAGACAACTTTGTTTCGATTATCCAAGTCATTTGGTGTCTCTGTCCAAGTCCATTCAAATTTATTCGAATTTTTATATTTTATATAGATTCTCACCGAATTAAAAATTATATTGCACAATTTTTAAAATTTTACAGGTTTGACTTAAGTTACTTGGGTTCAACTCGCCTAAATTTACAACTTTAGTAAAAGGATTGAAAGTTACATTATTGAAATTGTGACAAATTAAAAATTGATACATAAATTGTGATAATTGTAAAACTTAAATTGGAAGTTTTAATATTTTTTTACTTTCATAATTTACATTCAAAAATCTAACTATTTATATTATTTCATGTAAATATATTTTATTCATTTTTTCAAGCACGAACTTTCACTAGTATATATATATATATATATATTTTAGACATTTATTACTATAATTACATTACATTAATTTTAACAATTATAATTTCACAACCTACCAACCATTAAAAAACAAGACAAAAAAAACAACTCATAAATAATAGAGTATTTAATTTTAGCATTGATATGGATACACAAAGGTGCGCCGATTTCAGGTGCCGAATTTGATGTATACGTAGTAGACTTTCCTTACTTTTCTTTTAGAGCATCCACGTCAATTTCAATAAATTTTAAATTAAACTATAATTTAAAAAGTATTTTTATATTTCAACTTTTTTTCATATGTATACAATCCTATCATACTTTTTATTTTAAAATTCTATTTCATCAAAATATTTAAATTTTATATTTAAATATCTTTTCAATACTTTAAAAATTAAAAAAAGTGAGACCAAATCTGTCAAAAAAATGATAAACTAATGAATAATATCTCAATAAATTTAACCAAAAAAATGA